CAGAAAAACCCCCACCGTTTATAAGTTCTGCTGTCAACGCGAAAACACTTTTTTTCGGTGGGGTCACCGGAAATGACGTCGCAATGGCTGAGTTTCAAATATWTTTCAAKCAAAAATTCARAAAATGTTCTTTAAATATGTATCTTAAATGCTATAAAAAGTTTGAATAAAAATTCCATTTTTTATACAGAAAAAAAAATTGTTGAAAATATGCTATTTTTTCCCGGTGTAAACCCATGTAACCCCTTAAATTCTTTTCGATTTTGTAATTTATACGTACGTACGTAAGTATTTGTTATTAGATTAAAATTTTCATGAAATTTCATTTTCTCAGCAAGATGGTCGCTTCCAATGACGGATGTTCTTGCCGTACGTTACGGAGATGATTGGATTCATGGTGTTAATGTTAAAGAAAAAGAAACTTCGACTTCGCCCACTTCGCCAACAGTTTGTCCAACGAATTTCATATTGCATTATGCCGTGGCAGGACCGAAAAATAAATGGAGTCATCATAGTGTTACCATGAGCCATACCGATCCTCGTCAAGTTGCTTCTTGGGTCAAAACTATTCGAAATTATCTTTTAAGTGAGTATCTTTTAACATTATTCTCATACAATTTCATATTTTATATTTAATATTAATATAATAAAGATTTTTTTCTTATCCAAAATTTATTAATATTATTACTAAGTTTGCTTCTTAGGGATGTTATTTTTTGGACAGGTTTAAATCAGATGAACAATATATTTATCCGTTGAACGTTTCGTCTCTATTTGAGACTTACTCAGCAACTTGATAGTTATGTTCATAAGTCAATATAACATCATTTTTATTACAGTCATAAGTTTTCACTATCTTATATATAGAGTCAATTTTTAAAACCGTTATCCTACCATAACTTTTCGAACACATATTTAATATTGTTTATTATAAGTCAATATTAGTTGTTTCTTACGTTAGAAAAAATAAAATCATTAATAAATCACATTAGAAAAATTTCTTTACTCGACGTTACTTACAAACGAACATTTAGAAAAAAATCCAAAATAAAAAGAGAAAAAAAAACAGCTGATAGTTTTCTCGGAAAGAGAATATAATATATCGATGACAACGATCATTCATTATCTCACCGATGAAGATAATTCTTTATTTTTTTCTTTCAAAGTTTAATTATAAGATTAAAGGAAGGAAAGAAAAAAAAACTCGCCCCACCAACTTGACGTTTTTATTTCTCTTTTTATTCACTCAAGAATATAAACAAAAGAAGAATGTAGAAAAACGATAGAGGATCGATTGTCCTTAGGAATTTTAACTGGGGGGGACACTTATTTTAATTTTTATGTTATCGATTGGAAAAATACTATATTACATACGCGACGTCGACGATGAGTAGTTGTTTTCTTCGACTAAAACAAAACTTGTATTTTATTTTAATCTGTTACCTTATTTTTCTTCCATTTATTATTTATTTGTTTGTTTTTCGCTCCTCTGTTTCTTTTTTTCTTTTTATAATAGAAAGTATAAAAATATATCGGAGCAGCGTTTTAGATTTATTGTTGGCTTTATTTTTAGTCTGTTGCACGTGTACATTTAGAAAAAAGAGAGAAAGACAGAGAGAGAGAGAGAGAGAGAGAGGAACAAGACTTGAATGTTTTACGTAAGCACGAAAGCAATTGTACCTCAATTGTTTTGTAATCATGCATTTTTCATGATCTTTACTCCTTTCAACGGTAAGAGTATACTTGAGTGTAAAACTAACGTCTAACTTGAGTATACTTTTTTTTTTTCATTTATTCCGTGGTAAGAAAAATAATCATATATAATATTGTAATTAAAAAAATAATTGTAATATATCGTTTGTTAATTTTTCCCGAAGTTTTAAAAAATAAATATAATAAATGGAAATAATATAAATGTGCAATGTGGATTGGCGAATAAACAAAATGTTTGAATTATTTCAATATTTATTCTTTCAGGTATGACATATCGTCCACGTAAAGTGATGTTATTCGTGAACCCTATAGGTGGTAAAAAGAAGGGCCTGAAAATATGGGAAAAAGATGTGCAACCTTTGATGACCATTGCTGGTATCGAAACGAAAATGATTATTACAGAAAGAGCTGGACATATACGTGAAACTCTGCTTACGTCAGATTTGAGTGACCTTCACGTAAGAAACATATTTTTTTTTAATTTATTTAGTATTTTCTCTCGTCCAAAATTATAATTTTTGATGGATAAAGTTTCGTAGGGAACTTGGACATGAAAAGAAGTAGAACTTAATTTAATTAAGTTGGACGTTTCGTCCCTTTATTGGGACTTCTTCAGCAACTGGAAAATTTATTTTCTTATACATTTCTTATTACGATACAATTTTTTTTAATATTATAATATTATAAATCTCATTTTTCTCTGTGTGTGCGTGTGTGTGTTCGTTTTGATACCGAATACCGAATTTTTACCCATTTTATATATCTAATTAAAATATTATATCTTTCTTATTTTTTTCTACGAATTAAAAAAGCACATCATACTTATCGGTTAATATCTATTTCGGTTGAACGTGATGAAACTATAGTAAACTGGTGAAAAATCGAAATTTTTCATTAGAAATTAATTGCGTTCCACTTTTAACTTTTCTTATTAAAAATGAAACATGCCAAGATTAACGTTGTTCGATATTTTTATCGATTCTAATCGGGTTGTTTTTCCTTTCTGTCTTACTTATTTTTTCTTTAAACGAGTATGTAATTATTCTATAGCCATGTTATATATAAACGTAACATTGACGTATCTGAAAAGTTTCTTTCTAACAAGTAAATGTCCGTTTTACTGACACGATCGATCGATAAATCTAACATCGACCTTGACATTGGATATCATTGAACTAAAAAATCGTCAGTTTAGTTTTTTCTTTTAAAGGAGAGTTTCAAAATTGTTTCAAAACTTTGTACGCTAAAGAATAGGCTCGAAACTTTTCAATCGAGCCTCGTATAAGAATTGTCAAAATAAATTATATATATATATATATAATTATAATAATATAAAATATAAAAATAAAATTGAAGGACGATAGGAAAAACCTATTTAAAGAATGAAATGTTTTTTAAAATTCTAGGCAATCGTTTGTATTGGCGGTGACGGTACGTTTGCTGAAGTTTTCAATGGTCTGGTCTTGAGAGCTGCCAAGGACCAACAAATCGATTCAGACGACCCAGAGGCAAGGCTGCCAGCCCCTACTCTACCTGTCGGTGTAATACCTAGTGGAAGTACCGACACTGTGGCCTATAGTTTGCATGGTATTTTATTCCTTTACTTATACCTACAAAGTAACCCATACAGTTTATGTTAGAGACTCCCTTCATAAAATATTTATGTTCAATAATTCTTCAAAATGAAGATCGCTGCTAACTGCATAAATGTAATTTCTAAAAATTGGATGATCAGTGTTCTCATTTTTTTCTTTTTTCTTTTTTTTTTTTTTTGGGTTTTTCAGGTACGACCGATGTGCAAACAGCAACTATACATATCATTTTTGGAGATACCACTGGTTTGGACCTTTCCTCCGTCCATAGCAATCATTCCTTATTAAGGCTTTATGCTAGTGTCCTCAGTTATGGATACCTCGGTGACGTCATACGCGACAGCGAGAAATTCCGATGGATGGGTCCTCAAAGATACGATTATTCTGGTATAAAAAAAAAAAAGAAAGAAAAAAAAACAAAATGAACATCTCTAATATATCCTCGTATCATTGAAAACTTCAAAACTTTTTTTTCTTCTTATTTCTTTTTGATAATGATACTTATACTTTGGATGTAAATGTATTTGAATTCTTGTAAATATTATTAAATCATGTTTCAAGATAAATTTTCCTTAGCAGGTATGCTTATAAATTATTCATCAATTCGCATACTGAAAGCCATAAATATATATTTGTTCTGAGAATACGGAAGTAAAATAGTTAACAATTTTTTGATTACTTTTAAATATTATTATTATTATTATTATTATTATATTTCGTATAAAACAGTTCTTGTCTTTTTGTTTTAATCTAGGTTTTAAAAAAATTATTGCAAATAAAGGATACGAAGGTGAAATACAATTACTTTCGGATCCTTGTCATCCGGCAGGTAGTACTAGGTGCATGAAAAATTGTTCTAGATGTTTGCAACATATGCACAATAGCGTTCCCGATAAAGAAATTTCAAGTAAGTAATAGAACAATTTCATTATTGTTCATTCATTTAATTTTGATTTTTTTTTGAATAATCAAGAGTCGATAATTATACTCTATATTCAATTGTGTATATATATTTTAATTGTAATAATAAATGTAATAAATTTATTCTAGGGTGGTTGACGGTCCAAGGTAAATTTTTTATGGTTAACGGTGCGAACGTGTCATGTGCTTGTTCGAGAAGTCCAATGGGTTTTAGCCCACATTGTCACATAGGTGATGGTTGTGTCGATGTTATTTTAGTAAGACACACATCCTTCCTAAACAATATTAGAATGTTACTGAGACTTTCTAGCAAACAAAAAACTCTGGTAAGATTTATTCGTTTACTAATATTTGAAAATATATAATATAGAATTTGAAATATAATAAAGGGGAATATTATATTAAATAATTATATTGAACTATTGATCTTAATTTAATTAGTATTTTGTTGTTTACAGTATGATCTACCCTTCGTCGAGGTTTACAGAGCAAGAGAATTCACATTCCGTGCCCTGCCAACGTTACGTTTGCAGACTGAAAATAATATCCAAAGATCACAGAAAAATGCAGGCCTTAGCGTGTGGAACTGTGATGGTGAAGTTATAGATAATTCTAATGTCAAAATAAGGTTAATCAATTTTTTTAACAATTCGAACAAATCACAAAGATTTAATTTTATTATATATTTTGTATATTTTTTTAATATATTTATAATATTCATTAATTTTGTGATTAATTATTAGGGTACACTGCCAGTTGGTGAAAGTTTACACGAGACGAGCTCAAGATGCAATTCAAGATTCGTCCTCTTGTTTTTGTGCCCTGTGAACGTTTAGTTATATTTGTTAATACAAAAAACAAACAATAGGAAAATAAAAAAAGAAAAAGAAAAAAATCTATCTTACGAAAGATAGTAAGTAAGTAAGTAAGTAAGGTATGTAGAGTCAATTCGATGGTTTGCAAATGGCATACGAGATTACAAAGTTCCTTTCAAAGCTTGCCCTCGACAAATGGTTTGTATATCATCAATGTTTAGATCGTTTTTTCGACGACTAATTGACCATCGAATACGTCCTTAAGATCAAATTTTAAAAATAATTATGAGTACCGAAAAAGTATTATATAAATTGTCTTGCTTTTTATGCTTCTCAAAAATCGTATTAATTTCTCTGATAAAAATCAGAGAAACAATTTATGATTTTATATTAAATCAAACAATTATTATTGATCCAAAATAAAAAAAAAATGAAATTTCTTGATCAAATCGTAAATTCAAATTAATTACACAACACATAATACGTGGAATATAAAATCAGTTTTGAGAAACATTTTTTCGGCACTCATACCTGTATTATTAGTCAGAACTGACAAGAAAACAATTAAACACGATTATTTACGGAATCCTTTCAACCTTTTTTTCTTTTTTTTTTTTTAAACAAATGTAAGAGAAAGTAAGAAACATAGTAGAGAATTTGAGAAAAGAAGATAAAAGAGAATAGAATTATAAATATATTTATTTGAATGAATTTCTTCCCAAATAGAGGATTCTGTTCTGTTCAAAGGGTCTTCTTCAGATAATTATGTTACATTAGTATTATTATTACCTTCCTCCATTATTTTTATTATTATATTTACTATTAATATTACTATTAAGATCGTTAATATTATATTATCATAAGTATATTATTACTGCTGAATTATACATAGGCTGATTTATAAATGAATCGAACATAGGACAAGTGATGATAATATAATAGTCATTGTATATAGTTAAAGAAACAGAAAAAGAAAAAAAAGATAAGAAAGAAGAAAAAAAAAAGATTGATGAATTTATAACTTATCACAATTTCATCGAATTTAGAATGAGGAAAAATAAAAGAAAAAGAGAACTGAATGATAGAAGATAGAGTAAAAAAAAAAGAAAAAGAAAAAATATACATTGGTCAGAAACTGTGATTGAGCCTGTGTTTAACAATTTTCGTACTTAAATTAAATAAAAATTCGACTAATTTATACTCTCTTTTGTAGTAATTTAGGATTTTAGAACGCTTCCAGGGTCGGGAGAAAGTTTTCAATTCGAATTCGAATTGTTAAATCGAATTACGAACGACGTTAAAGAAAAGACTTCGACAAATTTATGCAACTCTGATGTAAACAAAGTTAGTTGTTGGGTGCGAACGAGTATATATTTTATATTGTTCTGTATTTGTTTTGTTTCTACGATATTTCTGGAAAAAAGAAATGAAAGAAATTGTTGCGGGAAAGAAAATATTCGAAAAAAAAAAAAAGAAAAACGAAAAACAAACGGCATTCCAAAGTTAATGATTATATTAACGAGATATGTATTATTATTATTATTATTATTATTATTATTATTATTATTTTATACGAGAATTTTCTTAGTAAAATATTTTGGACGAGTATTAACACAATGTCGGTATTAATTATTTTAAAATAGAGCTCTTCCGAATTAAAATAGTTTACACTTGTAATAAAATTTAAAATCAGACTTTTGTTTTGTTTTAAAATAATATTGTACCTCTTGACACATGGTGTTTATATTTTCTTATCGTTGTATTTGATGTTTTGTAGGAAAAAGAAAGAAAGAAACATTACGAAAAAGAGAGATAGAGAGAGAGAAAGCGTTAAGAAAATTAAACAAAAAAAAAATGTTTTATGGTTGTGCGAAATATAAACGACCAAGAAAAGAAAAGAAAAAAAAAACGAAGAAAATGCTTTTAATTGAAATAACATTTGTAGTTTGTACAAAAGAAGACGTGTCGAAAGTCTCAAAGTTTGAAACGCATTTGCGAAATGCTTTTTAGAAATAATTTTAGAGAATAACGGAAGAAATATTATTCTAACGCGTGATAAAACTTTGGGAATTGATCTTTCCACAAAATGAAAAATTAATTAATTGATTTTTTTTTTTTTTTAATGGAAGCTTCACGAAACAGATCTTTTTTGTAGAAAATAATAATTGCAAAACGTCCACGCGCAGTGAGATCATTGTTCAAACCGATGATTAAGTCCGAACAAAATTATCTATAAACAACAGGAAGAAAAAAAAGATAGGATAAACATTTTTCTAATTCGTTATTGCGAACGACGAAAAGGTTTTTATTTATTCTAAAGTAGTATCTAAAGTCAATTGGGATGCACTTGACAGTTTTCCCCTTGTACCACCATTTTTACCGAGATACACCATCGAGAATTATATTATTATATTATAAATGCATAAATAATAATTTTGATATACACATTGTCGAAAATATATAACAAAATAATTTTTTATTCATTTTCATTAAAAACTATTAATCAACGCGTCGGATAATATTTTATTCAAAATTAACGACTCTAATTATTATAATTATTAACATCCTGACATCCTGCATATATATATAATGTATGTGTGTGTATATACATACATACAATAAGTCACAAGAGTAATTCATAAAACTCTACAATCAATTTTAAATAATTGATATTTTCTTGTAAAAGTTTCAAATTGAGAGTTGAGAAGTGCTTACGAAAATTTCTGTAAGTCATTGTATACACATACACATACACACATACATATATAAATAATATTATATTATATATTGTGTAAACGATGAATATGATACGCGACTACCGATGAAAAAAAAGCATCGAATCGTCAATGCAATGAATTATAAATGAAATAAATTATACATCACTTTTTACCAGAATATTATTGTCGTCATCGTCGTCGTTGTTGTTGATGTTGTATTCTTGTTATCTTATCGTTATTATTATTATTATTTTTCATTTTATTATTTCTTCATGAGATACGTTCCATTGCTGTTCCATTTCTAATCTCACTTTTTTTTCTTCTTCCCAAAAATTCTGTGAAAGTGAACTGAAAATAATAAATTTATGGGGGAAACAGGGAGATAATACGAATATATTTTTTTATGGGTGCTGGAAGGTTGATAATTAATAAAAATAAAATTAAAGAAAATTCAATGTAAGATTAAAAAAAAGGCGCAGGGTGATTTGTAACATTCTTTTAATCATCGCCATTATAAAAGCACCGAGTATGTACCAAGTTAGTGTCACTGTGTCTGTTGTATTATTATGCACTTATGTGTTTTCTATGTATAATAAGTAAGTATGTCCTAAAAGTATATAATAACGTAATTTAATACGTACGTATATACATTTTTATTTCTGTATATTATTTGTGTTTATATGTGTATACCATATATATCTATGGTAGCGCGTGTGTGTGTATATATGTGTGTGAATGACTGCAGGTATAAATAAACTAATAGTTGGACTTTTTTTTTCTATAGTCCCGCTCGTTTTGAATATTTTTTTTCTTTTTTTTGTTTTTTGTTTTCTTTTACTTATGGGTATTTTTTTGGTGTCTGTTTTATATTTTTTTTTTTCAATTTTTTCTTCTTCTATTTCTCTCTCTCTCTCTCTCTCTTTCTTATTTTTATAACACTCTTTCTCTCTCTCTCTCTCTCTCTCTTTTATTTCATAAATCATGCACACCTTATCTACAGTCTCTACACGATCGTTAGATCCTTACCTTAGATTAATCAATCTATCATCTATCGATCCTTTTTTTAACACGCAAAAAATACGACACGCACGGACGAGATGATGATATATTATAATAATAATAATAATAATTTTTAAATAATAAAATACACATGTTTCTATATAATAAATAATATATTCATTAATATTGATAAATTATGGACAAAACGTATGATAATAATAATAATAATAATAATAATAATTTGGCGCGGTAATGTGACAAACAAGCATCCTAATTAATAATCATTTTTCTAATCTCTCATCATTGACTCTCCCATTTGCTTATATTAATGAATTTTATTATTATTATCATTATTATTTTTTTTAATATTACTATTATTATTATTATTATATAATTAGTATATATAATTATTATATCATTATTATTATTATTATTATTATTTTTATTGCTTTCGCTACCCTTACGCAGTAGTAAACATCGTTCGAACGATTTATTAAATATATCACTGATCATTTATTTTTTTTTTTTTATTTTTTTTTTCTTTATTCACCTTCTTCATTTATTTTCCCCAATTGGTGTTTCCTTGTTTTTTTTTTTTTTTCTTTTTTTTTTTGCATTTCATTAGTTTCTCTTCTATTTCTCTCTCTCTCTCTCTCACTCTCATCGAGTTGCCATAAACCTCGGCTAGCAGCGTATTATTATACTATTTTAGTCTAATCCCTGATATATAACATGAACAATCTCGTTCACAATCTTTCGTAAATATAAGAAAAATTAAAAAAAAGGATCGTGAGACGAAAAATACAGTGTGTGTCGGACGTCACGGCGTAAAAGCGTTTGTTCATTCGTTTTTTTTCATTTCTTTTCTTTCTTTCTTTTTCTTTTCCTCTTTCTTTTCTTTTCTTAAAGGGGGGGGCGACAATTTTTTTTTTTTTCTTTTATTATTATTATTATTAATTATTATTATTATTATTATTATTATTATTATCATAATCGTCCCTTTTCTCTCAGCATAAAATCCTTTCTCTTTTCTCTCTCTCTTTTTTTTTTTTTTTCTAATAATCGATACGCATTAGGCATGTACGTGTGTATGTATGTATTTACGTATGTGAGTGTATGCGTTTTTCCTATGTGATTTTTTATTTTCGTGTCGTCCATGCGCGCACATCTTTTTTGCGTTTTGCACCCCACTTCAACCCCTGTTCACCACCCCTTATGCTATCTTTTGACAATTTTGTTTTTTAAATTCTGTTCTTTTACTTTATTGCCCTTTTCTTTTCTTTTTTTTTTGTTAAATATTTTTAGGATCGTTAAACGAGTTTCCTCATTTGTTATTTGAAAAAAATTGTTGTTTTAATTGTTAATCGTTTGCATCTTAGTGTTTGTTAGTGTCTGTCTTCTTGTTCATTCTTTTCCCTATCTCATTTTTTCTCTATTTCTCTCTCATTCTCTCTCTCCCTCTCTCTCTCTCTCTCTCTCTCTCTCTCTCTCTCTCTCTCTCTCTCGCATATTCACCTACTTTGTACAACCGTACTACAATATACGCTAATGCTCAATAAATATTCGATAAATATATCATTGTATTTCATATAATATATGTATATCATCGTATTGCCATATTAATATAGTAATAATAATCGCACTATGTCATCATCATAATAATCATCATCATTATCATCATCATCATCATCCATCATTATCATCATCATCATCAGCAGCAGCAGCAGCAACAGCAGCAACAGCAGTAGTAATATTGACGTTATCATAATCGTTTATTCTTGGGACTTTTATTATTATTATTATTATTATTATTATTATTATTATTATTATTATTATTCGTATGTATTGTTAATGTTAATCCTAATATTAAAATTGTATTGCTATTTATTATTATGTATATATATATATATATATATATTATTATCATATATTTTATATTATAATTGTTATTGTTATATTACTTTATTAGTATTATCATTATTATCAGTATTATCGCAAACAGTTATTGCAATTTCCCGTACTCGCACGCGCTATATTATTATTCTATTTAATTAATTTAACAGTCTCTCTCCCTTGGCTAATATTATTTATTTAATTAACGATAAACGATCTTAAAATTATATTCCAATTAATTTTGTTCGTTAATAGAAATCATTAGATTAGATTTTTATTTGGAGAGGGGGGCGGGTTGGTGAGAAAGATTCAAATCATTGTGTGCAACGTTGCATTATTCGTAGAATCATTTTCAATAAACATATTCTCATTTAAAT